ACATTATCTTTCTCTTTCTCTCGTCTACTTACTTAATTAGTCATTCATTTATAGCCAACAATTATTTATTATATGTTTAATCGTATTGTGCTTAACTCACACCACACTGTGATGGATGAGAATAACCAATCAGAATATACTTACTTGGCAGCGCTCGATGGGGCTGAGGTACTCCATTGTTCTTTGGCTTTCGCTTGCGCTTCTGTATGCCCTCCTTCTTCATGGAGAGCGGGCGGTTCATATTGTGCAGCTTGTAATAGAGGCCGCAGGCATTGCAGACGGGGTTGCCTTCATTGTTGCGTCGCCAAAGCGTCGTAGAGTTGGTTTGACAGTTGGCGCAGACGACGCCACTGCGACGATTGTTTGGCGCGGCTGCTGCTTTTGGCTTTTGGCGCTGTGGTAGATGGCGAACCGGCTGCGCACGGCCATAGCTGGTGCAATTCGGACAATTGGGCCAGTCCGAGCCCTTGCGAATGAAGGGTATCTGGCAGGTCTCGCACTTGATCTCCTGCAGTGCGAGCGATGTGGGGGGCGTGGCACTGCTCGCCGACATGGTGGGGTCGTAGTTGCTAATGCTGCCAGCTGGCGCCCAATGACCACCGCTCATATTGGCCGTGGTGTAGTCATCAATAACCTGCGCAGGATAATTCGACTGAAGGTTGGTCAGGGTATTTAGCTAAAATCGGTGTCTATTTCTAGGTGCTTTACTTACAAATGATACGTTTTGATACTCGGCCCCGGTGGTTGTCCAAAGACCGCCGTCTGTGGCGTTCGTGCCATCAACGAAAGATATCGTCTGATACGGCCCGGCTGCCGTTTGCCTCAACGGATTTAAGTTGGGATCGGCTTTCGTTATAAACTGCGCTGCGCCCGGCACACTGTAAATGGTGTTGCCCTGCTGCAGTGTAGCCGCGTAGCTGTTGCTGGCGTACGTCGAGTTTGGCGGAAAGGCATAGGCGTTGCCCAGGTCCGCATAGGTTTTCGATTCATTCGCCTGCACGCTGGCATCCACAACGGGCGCATCATAGTACAGACTCGCACCAGGCGCGTCTGCATCACCGCTAGCGGTGGCAAAACGTCCGTCCTCAGTCACATAGCGCACGTGTGAATGTCCGACAGCAGCAGCTGCCGCGGCAGCGGCCACAGCTTGTTGATGCTGCTGCTGTTGATGTTGCTGCTGCTGCTGCTGGTGCTGTTGCTGTTGCTGCTGGTGATGATGCTGCAGTGCAGCCTCGCTGACACTAATCCCATCGCCGTAAATCACTCCATTTGGTGTAGGGCACTGCTGCTGCTGTTGGTGCGCATGTTGTTGCTGCTGCTGCTGTTGCTGCTCGCCGGAGACATCGCTCTTGTCGATTGTCTCTATTTTGATCGGCGCCACGTCGTCGTTGCTGCAAATAATCTGGCCCGAGGGATAGGCGTAGAGCGTGCCGGGTGGCGCATTGGCCACCTGTTCAGCCATCTCGGCAACGTTCCGAGGTGCCATTTGAATATAATGTGGTGAGTGATGCGATCCGCGCTGATACTCAATGTGGGTTTCCGAGCTGGCGCTGTTGCTGTTGTTGGTGCTGTGTTCACTCTCCCGCGTCTCGTTCAACTCGCTGCAGGTGGAAAGAAATTTCACTTTAACAAGGTTCCATAAATGATAAACTATTGCTTACTTACAGTGTTCCGGCTGTAGTTAGGATACGTCTCTGTTGCGATCGTGGGGCTACGACATACTGCTGTGGCTGCTGCTGTTGTTGTTGGTGTTGTTGCTGCTGCTGCTGTTGCTGTTGCTGCTGCTCATCCGATTCACTAGATTGGCTGTTCGCTTGTGCCAGAACACCAACTGCTGTTGGTGGCTGCTGCTGCGGCTCYTGCTGATCCTCCAGCACGCTGTTGGTCTGCGGATCGTTGCCGTTGCTGGACTCAATTTTAATTTTATCCAGCAACTGCAGCTGTTGCTTGCTCAGTAMTTGTTGCTGTTGCTGCTGTAGTTGCTGTGGTTGCTGTTGCTGCTGCTGTTGCTGCGGCGTTGCCTGCGTTTCCATCTGCAATGACCAAAGAGCAAATGATGAATGAGCAACCTGTTGACAGCTTGATGTCAAAAGTGTGGCTCCAGTTCCGGCCACACAATGCGAACTTGGCCGGCCGCCTCTATTTCCGCCACAATAAGTCAAACAAGCGCAAAAAACCAAAACCCAAGAGCACCAACTCGAACCCAAAGCAAACAATGGCAAATGTTTAAAGGTGCCGCCCAGCTCAGTTCAGCTCAGCTCCGCTCGCGGCTCACAGCTCAATTTGTCGCCTACAAATCATAAAATACAAAATGCGACTACAACTGCGGACCGACTTGCACTCTCCGGGCCTCCGCTTGAACCTCTCTGTTTGCTGTCTGCCTACTCATCGGCGTTGTGCCAACACAGACCACATACAACACAGCAAACGCCACACACTTTTCCCAATTGCAATGCAACACGCTTTGGTTTTTTTTTTTTTGTTTACTCCCAGAACTCGGTTTCGTTTTCGGTCTGGGCCGGAAATAAAATTTAACATTTTCGCGTCAAAAATAAAAAATAAAGAAAACCAAGTTTTACATGAAAACTATAAAAAATAAAACCCGTTACTCGGATCTTAACGTACGTCAGTTTGCTTGGTTTATGACCTCATTTGGTGGGGGTGGCAGCGCTGAATGTCAACACCTGGCGATCGTCATTGTCACCTGATTCATGACGGTGCTTTGCGGGCCTCACTGTGCTTCACTCCTCGCTCTTAACGAGTTCCATAAAATTTCAAAGCTTTTAGGCGCGTTTTTATGTCGCTTCGGGTCCCAAGTACACTAAGAACACTAAATGATCTATATATATAAACATATACATACATGTATATATATATGTGAATATCATTTAAGGTTGTCTGTACATAAACGTGGTGTTCAAATTAAAACATCATTGTGCAAATAATTGCTAATAATTTCACAGTTACTTATGATATGTGTCTGTCTTAAATGAAAATAATATAATCATAAAAATGTTGTATGGTTGTATATTATCATTGAAAATAGAAATCATTGTAACTTGCTTTATTTTTTTAAACTAAAATAAAATAATATTGTTGGAGTATACATATAGCCTGCAATAATATTTCCAACTAAAATATAGAGTTTGTTGAGCGGATTAATAACTGAGTGCAGATAAATAAGTTTAATCTTGATAATTTCTATTTATTTTATTTTATTTTATTTTTATTTAATTGATTAAAAATGATGTGATAAATCTTTCTTAAGTAAATATGCAAACGCAGTCGAATGAACACATTTTCAACAAATTTATTTAAGAAATTCCACATAAATAAATGCGAATTGCGTTTTATGTGACAGACATGATCGATTTAGGTTGAGTTAAGGTCGTTTTCCAATATGACTCATAGTCAACGAAAAAGTTCAGGGTATCAAAGTCTCGTTGTCGACTTATTAAAATGAAAAATTGGTTCTCAAAATAAATATTAAATAAATATGTGTCATATATATAAATAATAATCAAAAACTCCACACTGTACAATAATGAAAACTATTTTTTGTTTAAAGTATAAATGAAAATATGCGAAAAGTTCAATGAATCTTATATAGAGATAACATAATAGAAACGTGATTGTTATAATCTAGGATGTACGATATGATACCCGCGGCCGATATGCTATATTCACGTGCCAATGTTTGCGCTTATGTAGTACAATGTGTGTGCATACATATGAAACAGAAAGTTTAGTTAAGATACTGCTACCAAACGACAATATCTTATCCGTTAACTGCTATCAGCATACACAATCAGCTGTTCAAACTGCTGCTTCTGCTTCTGCTGCKGCTGCGGCTGCGGCTGGAACTGAGAGGTCAGCTTGCCTTGATCGGCTACGTCATCGATAGACAGGGACAGACATGGAGATACATAACTTAAGTGGCATGTGGATCGGCGAGTATTTGCTTGGCTTTCGTCAAGAGTTCGTCATGGGTGCGGATACGCATTTATGAATGAAATCTGTGCAGTCACACCTACAATGTTTTTTTTTTATCTATATAAACAAAAGATATTGGCTTTATGCATAGTCGCACCTCTTTTCGCTTTCGTTGGGTAGGGGCGTGGCAAAAGACAAGAGCTTTGCGCTACGATTCAATTTGCGAGGTAAATAACTATTAATTAAAGGGCCTTCTGCAATGCCTGTTTCTAATTCAATATAAAGACTTTTTACTTAGTTCAGCCGATAAGATGTGCGCTGATGCCAGCTGCATTTACAACTCCATTAAAATGCCGTCAACTGTAGCAAATGGCATAAGCCGCTTTGACCCTTGAGCTTATCAGGCCTCAACGTCAACTGTCAACTGGCGACGCGTGTCTAATAAAACTATCTCAGTGCGAGTATCTAACCCTGCCCTGCATCGACTATCGCAATCAATTGTTGCCGCCGATGCCGCCATTGACCAACTGTTAACTGGTCCTCGATTGCGATTGGCTGACGCTGCAGCACTTCCGCTGCAGATTAGAGGCAACCCCCATGGCACTAAGGGTTGACAATTATTTCATTCATCAGGCATTTCACTTCCACATCTGAGGATGGGCTCATCCCTTGTCTGGCTCCGAGCTCAATGCAAGGCGATAAGATTCACATAAATTTCACATTACATTAGGCCTAATACTAATATATATATATATAAGGTTGACCTTTTTCATGAATGAAACAACTGCGCGTGCTGTGCCGAGCTCGGAGCTAGGTCCACTTTTCCGCTCTCCTTTTTTTCGATGCGTGCGTGTTTTCTTTTTTTTTTTTTAGGTATTTTAACGCCAATTTCGCTCTTGGCCTCATAAAGATAAAACATCTTTCCACATTTGACTTTTTAAATGCATTTCGAGACACACACAAAAAAAAACTATTTAATGGTTAAATTTTGCATAGGCGACGGTTTAATACTCGCTCATCTTATAATAATACCTAAAGTCTTTCTTAGATGACTCGATTTTCCTGACGAACTGATTTTAAGAGCAGTTCTTCAGCAGTCTCCACTTTAAAATTTTAAGAAATCTTGCACATTTAATGATCATATATATTGTATTCTAGTTTCACAGACATTGCAGCTAACTAATAAACTCGTTTCGCTTTGTGAACGTGCATACCAAACGTCGCATTTGTGGATCTGCCTGCAAGCAGCCTGATGAGTCATTCATTATAAATCAATTTGGCTTATCGCACTGACAATTGTCTCTGCGTCTAAAAAAAAAAAAAAAAAAAAAAAAAAAAAGAAAG